TTTTTTTTTTTTTTTTTTTTTTTTTTTTTTTTTCAGTAAAATCTGACCTAAGAAATTAAGATCTTTATTGAGAGATTTCTTTCTACAAGGACAGATGACAATACGATGTAAGCACAGTTGAGGTGATAAAATCTCTTTGCGGAGATCATAAATAGTACTAAAAATGCGCTTACGTAAAGGCTCAATTTATGACGTAATATTTGCTTCTTCAATTGAAGAAGAAAAATTCAATAAAATGCACAAAAATTAGGAACTATTGTGGTATTTGTAAATTAAATTCTGAAGCAGCACTACTTCTCTATATATGTGTAATAAACAGATTTTTATAAATGGTTAAAAAATTGTTTAGCTAATATCAGTGTAGTAACTGATTTAAGATTAATTTTTAAGCTAGAATACAGTTTTTGTACTAAATATAACCATAAAAAAATAAACCAATTTATTTAATCCGTAGTTTCTATTTAAAGTATACCTTAAATTATTACTGCTATTAAAATTGTTATTATAGGCGTTGAATCTTCGAGGAACCTATCGGGAACATGAACGGAAGCCGTATTGTCACGAATGTTTCTATCGTTTATACAACGGCCTTATTTATGCTCCAGACATCAAGCAAACTAAAATAGAAAAACTTATTTGAGCTTTCGGCGGCTTTTTTAGATATTGGTACTGACATATGTACAAGATTCTATGTTTTTTCTTCCTTCTTCTTTTGTTTCTTTGGAGGTGCCTAAACAAATCTGTAATCGATTATATAAATGCTCAGATTTTCATCATCGTCACCGCCGCCATCGCTGTCCGCACCATGTTTACTGTCATTATATAGTCATCACTGTTCCCCCGGTTTTAAACAAATGTTTTCTCAGTGATGGTGATGATAATGAAAAAAAAAATTTTGTAAAAGTGGCAACAGTGAATAATAATTATTATAACAATAATGACAATAAAAAAGAATTTTTTTTCCTTGTTTCAACCACCAAACATTTTTGGGAGGGGAGGGGGGGGGAAACGGGGGAATGAGAAGAGTGGAGGTGGGATAAAGAAGGAACTGAAGAAAAGAAAAACAATTTGTAGAGAAAATGTTCGAATTTTTTTTTTTT